TTTTAGTTACAGTTGTAGTAATGTTGTCATTTTATTAGTTTTTTATTATTAAGTTTTAGATTTGAGTTATTTCAGTACTTCAACATACAAAATGGAAATGAAATTATATATATTGAGTGTATTGAGTGTATTATATATATATATATATGTACATGTTGTGTATATATTATAATAATTCTTATTTTAATAAGGTATTAATATAATTAGTAATATATACTTGTATATACTTATTTATGAATGAATTATACAAATATAAATATGATATAAAATATATGATATATATATAAAATATGAAAATAAATACAACTATATTAAATATCGTTTTTACTTATAATAAATGCATTACATAATATATACATTTTATTTATTTATTTATAAATAAAAATATTTATACTAATATAAATATGGTACAATATGTAAGACTTAAAGTTAAGTTATTGCCTGAAAAGTGTTAATAAGCCATTTGACCTTTTACTTAAATGTAACTGTACTGTCCTCACTGATCACATTTCCTGTTATTACACAATCTGTCCAATAGGGGTCACTGTTAGCTTACAAACACAAGCGAGCCTTAATACTAGTCTTTGTGGTTTTGTACTGAGCATTATGTGAGAAGTTCCTCTGTAGAACTTTATAAGTAGCAAATATGATCTCACATTAATGCCTAAGTGCCACTACATCACCATCCAGCGCAGTAATGGCATCAACCCTCATATACACGGTAGTTAACGTATATATTTCCAGACAGTTAAATTGAGAGACAGACAAAGCGTAAGGAATATGAGATTGTTGTGTTTTGATCGGTCTTTTCCCTGCAGTGGAGTGCTAAAGAGGAGAGCATTTTGACGAAGCTGACGTTTATCGGATCCGGAGCGTCTCTCTGCGCATTGGTGGTGATGACCTTGATGCTGTTTACCGTGTTGGAGTAAGTGGTTTTCACGGATGCACCACCACACCAACAGCATGACAAGAGCTGTGTGCTTCTGTTTGGGAAACGCTACATGATGTGCTCTGGCATCATTTGATTCGCTATCTTTTATGCTGTCTAACTTCAAGTGTTGGGTTCATAAGGGTCACGACATAGCATAACATTTGCTTGACTCTCAGCATCACGCAGTCTGTGAGCTCTCAGTCCTCACGCTTGTCAATAGCGCTCAGTTGTGAGGCTGAATAAGTATTGAAAACCACTAATCAGTTAATTAGCGCTCCGTGCCAAATGAGCCCGAAGCTGAAGTTTTATGGTGACATTACAGGGGAGTTAATTAAAGGGAAGGGTCACACAAATGGAGGTTAATCATCCAAGCTGGTTTCTTTAAGAGATTGATGGCCTGTTTGCTGCTAATCAACCCACACACACACACTTCTTCTGGGTTACCAAAATAAATACAATTTGCCTGATTTTTCTCCAAATTGTAACATTCATAAACATTTGCCATTCTCAAAATGTCTCTGAATTATGGCGTAAAATGTATATATGACGAAAAGTGTTTCTTTGTTTTAACAGCAAAATCTTTTTGTGTCTCTGACTTGTGCTCAAATTGTCCTTCTCTGCAGTGGTTCTGCTGTTCATAATAAGGTTTGGTGTTTTTCACACTTTTGTTTGGTAGCATAAAATTCTGAATTTGGTTGTAATTGTTGGTATATTTTAACATAATTAATTAATGATTAAGATGCTAAATCATTAAATTATTTATGCAGCAGTGTTATTTTAACATTATTTATATGTTTGAGTATAGTATTAATACTTAAATTTTTATATGTTCAGTTTTTATTTTAATTTTAGTTTAAGTTCTGGTAATTTTGTTATGTGCTTTTTAATTATTTTTTTAATGTGTATTTTTGTATAGGATTAATTTATTTTTATTTCAGTTTTAGCTTTAGTTATTTTAGTACTTCAACCTAAATTTATTTCAGTTAGTTGCGAAGGCAACATTTCTCATTTTTGTTTTTTAAGTTAAAATTTGTATTTAATATTCATTTTATTTTATTTCAACTTCATTTCAATTACCTAAAACATTAAATTATTTTAGATTTAGCTTTAGTTGATAACAACACTGCTATGCATAAGAATGTTTTATGATATTATAATTTATGTTTTTTAAAGGGGTCATATGATGCGATTTCAATTTTTCCTTTCTCTTTGAAGTGTTACAAGCTCTTGGTGCATAAAGAAGATCTGTAAAGTTGCAAAGACTAAAGTCTCAAATCCAAAGAGATATTCTTTATAAAAGTTTTTGTTAAATATAAAAACAAAATATATATTGTGTGTTTGAGTGGTCCAGACGCTACAAACGTACTTAAGTATTGAAATTAAAAGTACAAGTAAATGCAAAATGGAAAAGAAGCAAATAAATAATATACATATATATAATGTTCATACACAGCTTGAGTAGCAATAGGCCTATTGTATTCAGTTTTAACTCTTTCTTCCATTTTGCATTTTTGGGTAAGAATAAGAAGCACTTCATCCGGTACTTAGTGTCTTTCATTCCAACATAAGAAAACATTTCTGGAATCTGCATCTGAGATAGCATTTAGATGTATTTACACAGTTTAATGTTTAATGTTAATTTTTTTTAGGATTACTGATAAACTAATGTAGTTTGATTTGTATTAGTTATCTATTTTAGTTTTAGTTACAGTTGTAGTAATGTTGTCATTTTATTAGTTTTTTTATTATGTCTATATAGGTTTTTTTTATTAAGTTTTAGTTTTATTTAATTTGAGTTATTTCAGTACTTCAACATACAAAATGGAAATGAAATAATATATATATACTGAATGTATTTATATATATATATATATGTACATGTATATGTGTGTGGCTGTACATACACATATGTAGTTGTTTTTTGGTATTAAAAGCATACAGAAGCATTTTTGCCGTCTACAATTTAGACTGCCTTACATTTAGAGTTTTAATAGACTAATAAATCAACGTGCGTGCACTCTGTGTGTGTGATTTGGTGAT